TCATTACAGAAGTAATATCTACCAAACAAATACTGCACATTTCTAAGTGGCTGGCTTTCAAGGTGCTTTGCCTATGACTTTTTGTTCCCTCATTTTGTCAGAATGCTGAGAAATCAAGTAAACGAAACATTGTGGCTGGTAGCATACAGCCCTCAGTGCTGTGGACGTTTTGTGTCCAGCAGCTGGAGCTTTCGTAGTATAGCCAGGCTTCATTTGTTCCATATGAATACAAGCTAATAAATGGAGAGAATTCCATTTGGTATTCAATTAAGACCTCTCTTGACTCCTGTTATTGAAGACTACAAACTATTGAGCATAAAATTAAAATTGAGCAGTTTAGCTCTTCTTGACACAACACTGCCTAAAAAATAATGATGTAAAACCCTAGAATCACAAGTCATCCCTTACAGCCCATGGACAAATAAGAAGTAGAAACATTGAGGAAGAAAGAGTAAATCTATAAAACTTAATCATTAGTACACATGATGTTAGGAGCATGCTACTGGGCTCTTGGAAATACATCAACCCAGTTTGTTGAACACAGATATTACATTGAATTTAACAGAATGTTACAAGATGATTATTGCCAAAGCTCCAATGAAGGAAATAATTAAAGCACTAAGCATTTTAAGGTTTAAAAATGACTTTAGGCAATAACCAGAAAATACTATAGGAAATCAATAACCAGAAAATACTACAGGAAATCAATATACTGTAATTGAAAGGAAATTGAATTGGGTTTACTTTTTTATCCCTTGTAAATTCTCTTTAGACTGCCAGACCACAGGAGACAGTGAATCTCATTTTGCCATCAGCGGTGTGACTTTCTGTAAGTCTCATGTGCTGCAGGGGCCACCTTTATTGTTTTTTATTTAGGAAGCACTCAGCTGAATAGATATGAGATTTGTGTGTGTGTTATCTTTACTAGTCTTGGACTCATTTTTAAAAACAAAACAAAACAAAAACTAGAAACAAAATCAAAGACACAGCAGACAAAAACAACCTTTTCCACAGAGCCAGAGAAGTCAAATTAATGAGAATTCAGACATTGGAACCAGAGGAGTTGTTAGATAAGCCTCACACTTGAACCTAAGTGAAATTCTTCTAGTTTTTATCGAACACTATGCCTGTCAGTCTTGCTATGCAACAAGAAATATTGCCAGTTGCAGATACAAATTCAATTTGAATCTGTGAATCTAACTCATCTTTATTGCTTATTTTTGAAAGATTATTGCAATCAAACAAAAAAGCTTGAAGTGATCCTCAGGGAGATAAGTGGATATGAGCAGAAATTAAGAAATGTTAAAATGAGAAATCCAGACAGGATGTTGTGGTTTACTCCTATAATCCCAGCATTTTGGGAGGCTGAGATGGGAGGATCCCTTGAGCCCAAGAGTGCAAAACCAACCTTGAGCAACATGGCTAAACCTTGTCCCTACAAAAATGCAAAAAAATTAGCCAGGCATGGTGGTATGCACCTGTAGTCCCAGCTACTCAAGAGGCTGAGGTGGGGTGATCATCTGAGCCTGGGAGGTCAAAGCTGCAGTGAACCATGGCTGCACCAAATAAATTCCGGACTGGGTGCCAAAGTGAGACCCTATCTCAAAAAATAAAAACAAAACCCAACAGTACTGGATAAATCCTTCAAAAGGATGTGGATAGTCAACATTTCTTCTTTGGTTGCTGTTGTTTAATCTCTCATTCATCTTTAGTATACATTTTCAGGAGCAGTATTAGGATTTAGGATAAATGAAACATGTTCCATGATTTCTTTAGTAAATTGGTCAAAGTGCAGCTTCAGAAATATTTTTGAAAATCTCTAGTCCACTTCATTTTTCTACTACTTTCCTTTACCCACCCTCTTGAATGCCTAAGTGGATGAAAGACAGACACAGAGGAAAAACAGATTCTCTCAGTCCTCAGTTTCCCCTCTGTAAAATGGAAATAGTAGTCACCCTTCTCAAATAGTTGCTTTACAAATTAAATGAGTTAATAAAAGTACATCTCTCAATGATTGGCCCTACTATGTGCTATGTAAATGTTATAATAATTGTTATAAAATAATGATGATGATGATAATGATGATTTTGCTTTTTAAAATTTATCACCAAGATGTGAATTCACTAGCTATTATATTAAACCAAATTTAACAATTTGGAGTCTCAATGTGGTTGACTATAAAATAGAAATATCTTCCCTACCTACCTTAAATAGATGACATTTATGAAAAGGATTCATAAGCTATAAAACAACGCCTCAATGAAAAATGCTGAATCTAGACTTTAAAAATAACTGGATTAAATACTAATTTCACCTCTTAGTAGATATGTGATCTTAATGAAGTCCTGAGTTTTCTTGTCTATTAAATGATAATGATAATAGCACCTTCTCATATGGTCATTGTGAAGCTTACATGTGTAAAAAGCTCAGTACCATGGCTGACACATAGAAAGTATTAAATAATGTTCAAAAATGTACTTTCTTAGTTATACCCCATTATGATATGTGATAAGAGAATGTATTTTATTTCTAGTTTTCCAGAGAATCTATATCTTAAATATTCTTTACCCCCAAATTAAGTCTTTGAGCATCCTAGTTCTTGGCATCCACAGCTAATATTTAAGAAACATTAAAGTTTGTGCATATGAAGAAAAAATTGAGTTAAGTAAAAGGAACTTACCAATCCTAAACTCTAGGCTGCTGTTATTAAGAAGAGGAACAACTGTCCAAATGCTATTATCAAAGGACATATGAGTCAGATGGGAAAAAAAAAAAAAAAAGAAGAACACAGAAAGGTGAAAAATCTTTGTCCAATAGAGGAGAGAAATTATTGTCTTGTAATACATATGACAGAGTCTGGCCAAATATTAAAAATGAATAGAAATATTATATATGGTGTAAATAATGTTTAAGTCACTGCCTAGATCAGAAGATGAGAGATATTTGTCTATTCTACCTACTTCAAATGCTTTTTTGATCTTGTTATTTGGAACCTCCAAATACTAGAATGCTTTAGAATTATTAAACCATTGACCAGGTTCAGTTATGTTTAAAAGAAAACATCATTCTGAGGAAACTGAATATTATATATTTATAAATGTTTGTCCATAGCATTATTGAAACAAATGGCTCAAGTTTCACTGTTAATCCAATAGCTGATATTTTTTACTACTCAGTACACCAAATGGCACAGTCAAGTTGGTGCTAATAGAGGTCATTTATTTACACAAACTGACAATAGCTTCACCAAATTTAAGAGACAACTCTAAGGAGGACAGAGAATAAATTACTGTATTTGCTTTGGCAGCTTAGACATATTTATCATGAACAAGATCATATCCTAAAAGGTATCCATTAAGCTTAAAATTAAGTTATATGGTTGTAATATGTGGAGATAGCACATTGGAATAGCTCTTCACTTAATGGTATAGATGATTTTTTTCCACCAATATTATTTGGTCTAGGAAAATAAAATCCTCTTGAAGAAGTAATTAGAAAAAGCACACATCAGGGAATGTAATTGAAGATAGACTTTTGTTGACCTCAGAAAAGAAAAGCTCAAAAGAAATTTCATAAAGTTTTAAATTTGGCAAGAGGACCACAATGTCTCTGATAATTAGACTTTCAACACGTTTGGATTTGCTAATTGGACCTAAGTTCTAATTAGGCATTTTATGTAACTAAGAATGACATATCATTTTATGAATTTAATGTGCTTTTACAGTTGAAACCAACAATTAGCAGCCTTTTCCAAATTATTTTAATAAGGAAACAGCTAGCTCTGCTGTTTATATTGTGACATTCCCTTCTCTTAAGATATATTATGTACATTTTAGTTTTCTTAATTAAACACCTTTTGGGGAGCTCAAAGAGAAAATTGGATTTTAATAGGAAGCTCCTAAATTGTTTATTTGTGGGAAAGACTTGCCAGCCAGTATGTAGATGACTTTGGAAGCCACAGACAAACTGCAATAAAAAGAAATAAATCACAATCATCAGGAGGAAATAGCACAATTAACAATTTCCCCTGTGACCATTCAGTTAATCAAAACAGCCTCTGAATATGACTGAAGGTCTGTTACATTTTTAAGTGCAAATGCAGAATATTTCCCAAACGTGAAGGCTCATGGAGCTGGTTTCAGGATGAATAACAGGACATTTCTTCCCAAGATGTGCATTACAACATTCTCTCTCTCTGCAGCCTTGTTCCATAAACACTTACCTGCTAATTCAAGTCACATTATCTCTTTCTTTTCTCCTTATTTTTGATGGAGAGTCATCAAATTTTATCCCATTTGAGATTTATAGATAGTCATTTAAAAACTGGTAGCCCTCAGATTTGTATATTACAGGAGATAAGACTGACATCAGAATATAAAATTAAACTACTATTTGGGTGAGTAAAGAGCAGTGAGTCATTGCAAAACTTTAAGGGAAAGGCTGCTGCCAAAATATTCCAAGCAAATTGATAACACTGACAAAAAGGCAAATTATATTGTTTTATGTACTATGAATACTTTGAAAACAAAGCCATACACATATTTTTTCAAATAAAAGCAGTTGCCCTTCTAACCATATTAAAAATAGTCTTTTTTTCCCAGTAAAAGCCATAAGAGATCAAATTAAAACCATTGAAACTATTAGAGAATCTAACTTATGCAGTAACTGAGATATTAAAAGAGACATTATGTTAGAATTATATGTGCTATTACTTTTCCAATTAGTGTATTACTGGAACTGAGTGACTGGTGTATATATAACTCCTCATTAAGTAAAATGTCCTCAATGAGCCTCCTCAAGCACAATAAGCATGATATTTAAAAGCAGGAAATGGCATTTCTGATAACCTCATTTTCTATTTAAAAAGAAAACCTGTGCATTACTTTTTCTATACCAATTATTCTAAAAGCTATCACATGCTTCTCCATAAGGGCTATACCAAGGTGATGGAACTGTTCTTCAGGCAGAAAAAAAGTGACCAGAGCTGTCTTATCTTTCAGCTTGGGTGCTGGAATCCTGTCACAGGTCTGAATGGGTCACTGACTGACAAGAAATTGGAGAATAACATGCGTGGAGTGGTTCTACGTGTGGTAACTGTTCTGGTAAGTATTATTTGAGCCTTGTGTTTTTGACTTCTGGAGGTTACTTTATCTGACATTTCTTTGTTTTGTTAACTGATGACATAATCTTAAAGGAGCTTTTAACAAACTCTTAATGCACGTTCTAAGATATTTTTAATGGTCATATTTTACAGCCTTCAGTTTACATGAATTGGGATCACGGTTTTGCAGAGTTTTAATTATAGTGCTTGTGTTAGGAATTTTCTTAGACATTTTTGCTTGATTTTCTAGTTTTCTACACATGATAAAGCAGAGGTATGTCTCAGGCCTTCTTTCATTGAAACTGTAGTACGAGTAAATGAACATAACCCTGACCATGCCAAACAATGGTAGATTTGGTAAAATGTACATCCATAGTAGTGAAATATTAACAAACTAAGAATCCTTCTTGTAAGGACCTACTTCAAAGGGAAGCTGATCTGTTGCTTAATAGGCGTCTATTGTCGACTGTATTCCAGGCTCAGTGCTGATTACTGAGGATGTTGACAAATAAAATACACAGACATAATTCTGTCTTGATAGAGCTTATCATCTACTGATTCTGTGAATGTTGAATAGGATTACAGTAGTCTCCCATTATCTGTGGGGTCACATTCCAAGACCCTTAGTGGATGCCTGAAACTGTGGATAGTTTTATGTTTTCTTCCAGCACAATCACATTGTGTAGGACTTGTAGGGTATACAGTATGGATTTGCTGGACAAAGGGATGATTCACGTCCAGGGCGTGTCAATGGGATAGTGTGAAATTTCATCATGCTACCTAGAACAATGTTAAATTTAAAACGTATAAATTTCTTATTTCTCAAAGTTTTCATTTAATATTTTTTTGGCCATGGTTGATTGGGGGCATAACTGAAACTGGTGAAAGAGAAACCACAGATAAAGTAAGACTACTGTATACCTGGGAAAGGTCTGTTACAATTTCATTTACTTGTTAAAGAAAACAAATGGTAACTGTTCTCATAATTCTAGAAAACAATGAAACATTAATGTTTTCTCTCCTAGTAGACATATACAATAAGATGTTAATAGAAATATTCCTAAACAGTAAAATACTCAAATGGGCTCTGTCTAAATAGCAATAAAATATGAAGGCATATATTCTGCTTTCCTATTCCAGCATGTTTAACCATGTGCTTGTTTATAGACTGTTTCAAAACATAATAGTCCACAGTTACTAACTTTATTTTTCTTCAGAAAACCCTACTTGTTTTTAAGTTTGAAAAATAGTTTCCTATAGCTAAGTAAATTTCAGAATTAATAAATAGGAGAGGAAGTCTTTTGCCGATTGGATGTTCATCAAAGTTTATAAACCAATTGCTGCCCATTGTACATTGTCTACTACAAATTAAATAGATGCAATGTAATTTTATTGTCAAAAAATGTCTTTGAGAATATTCTCTATGAAGGGACATTCAAGTGAGTAACCTGTTCCTCTTTTTTGTGGTCCATAAATTATTCCTAGTTATTATTTTTAAAAGGGCTTCATTGGTTTTGGTACATAATTATAAATACTTCACAACTTAAGTGGGAATTTGCTTCTGTATGTACCTAAGGGTGCAGATATGTATTTACATTGATGTGCTCATATTAAAGAAAGACATTTAAAGTACAGCAAACTGTTAACAGTCTTTCTTCTAGTGATTCACACAAAAACCCCAGTGATGATTACGATGAAAGACAGTATATGTGTTTTGTTTTTCTTTGAGAAAAGAACACAAATCTTTAAGACAAATTAACTTCAATCAATATTAAGCAAATATTTATTTAGTACTTACTATATGATAGACTCAGTAATGAATATAAGATAAATAATATATAGACCCTGTCCTCAAAGTATGCACAGAATCTTGTTAGGTTGATGCACATATAGCAAAACAGCTCAGATTTATTAAATATGGTTGACCTTTGGTATCTGTGAGGGATTGGTTCCAGGAAGCCCCCATATCAAAATCTGCAAATGCTCAAGTTTCTGATATAAAATGATATAGTATTGCATATAACCTATGTACCTCCTCTCAAATACTTCGAAGGATTTTTAGTTTACTCTTAACACCTAATACAATGTAAATGGTATGTAAGTAGTTGCCCTACCGAATTGTATATTATTTTAATTTTTGTTATTTTTATTGGTTTTTTTCCTAATATTTTTTAGCCACAGTTGGTTGAATGTATGGAATTGAGTCTCCAGATGCAGAACCTGTGAATATGGAGTGCTAACTGTACTTAATGTGTGCAAGCTTCTCTACTAAGTCTTTTGCATGTATTGTCTTACTTCATCCTCACAATATTTCCAAGAAATAGATAGTATTCTGATCTCAAGAATATGGAAAAGGAAAATGATACACACACACACACACACACACACACACACACACACACGTATAAATACACGCATGTATGTAGGTATGTATTTTTAATGTATCATTAAGAGGGAAGGGGTAAGGTCTAGAATCAGACTTCCTGAATTTGAATTCTAACTCTCCTACTTACTATCTGTATAATGTTCATAAATATATGAACCGACAAGAAATTGGAGAATAACATGCATGGTGTGGTTCTACATGTGGTAACTGTTCTAGTAAGTATTACCTGAGCTTTGTGGTTTTACAGATGGTAAGTAGCAGTTAGGATTCAAATTCAGGAAGTCTGATTCTAGACCTTAACCCTTTTCCTCTTAATGATAAATTATACTTGCTCCAGTCCTACTGTGATAAGTGTGAGCATAGAGGTATCTATAGAATTTTGTTTCACTTGAGAGTTGAAAATGCTTAAGTCTGAAGAAGGTGAAAATGAGTTTTATTGGGAAGGCTTATAGGTACAATTACGTTAAATTCACTTCCAGGCTGAATAAAACAATTACTATGTTGTTCATGAAGCAGTAGCACTTCACACAGTGCTAATGCCTGCATACTCCAGGTTCACCTTCATGACTCATAATAATCTCTATTTCCTGCAAGCTTAGCCCTGCACACCTATTGAATACAGTTAGTGAATGAAGATACGGAAGCGGTCTGTTTTTTTAAATTCTTCTGTGATGGACTTATCAGTTGGGTGCCAGCTGAGTAACAGGTTGTTACACTTATTACATTCCTACAATATACAATCATTGTATTTAATAATTTTACATGCTTCCTGTGTCTTTCTGTGACTACTATGAGAATTGAAACCAGCCATTGCCTTCTTATTTATTTTCTACAAGTGCCTTTTCAGGACTAGCTCTTAGTTATATGGGCTTGCAAGCTTCTTCTACTCAACACTGAGAATCACTGTCCCCTTATCCCACCCAACAGCTCCCAAATCTTGATGCTTTACCTCACTAAACCCTGAAACTAGGATTTGATGTATACTCAACTTGATGTTGTAACGGAAACATAACCTCCCACCCTCTTACATTCCAAGTACTTACGTCCAACACTTCCCAGAAGACAAAAGGGAAAGGGCCAATGTGTACAAACTCAGGAAGAAGGTCTTTCCTCCTTTCTTCTATTGAAACTGAAATATAGTCTTAGCTCTATCGACTCCCTCCTTTCTTAGGAAATTTTATACTATCAATTTAATAAAAGTGATTTTTCTTTCTAAAGTTTCATTAAAAACATTAGTAAAATTGATTAATAAAGGTTGATAAAATTGATTTTTCTTACTAAAGTTTTGAAATTCCCAGTCTTATGACTGTTCATGCTTTATTGAGTTGAAGGAAATTATCTAATATTTATTTTAAACTTCACAATTTAGTACTCTACTGTTTATGATTTCAAGGGCAAATAAGTGGTACTCTTAAAAGGTTCATTAAAGAGTTAAATCGATGAATTATTGACAAAGATGTAAATAGTTTTAAAGGAATCAACAAGGAATGATGAAGCACCAGGACCTAGATGCACAGAAGGCCTTGACTTGCATGAAGACTGATAAGGCATGGGGAAGCAGTATTATCAGACAAAGCAATATATATATAGCCGTGGGAGAGAGACCACCACACATGGCAGCAGTAAGCTACAATAAAGGAAAAGAAAGAAAATCACTGCCAATACCAAAATCAAGCTATGCGGAACTAAGAATAGGAATACCCCGATCTCACTCCTCTTGTCTATCTCTTTTCACTGTCTCCAACTGCCAATCTAACAAGGAGTTAGAGGCCATGGGAGCCCAAGTAAGGAAGACCATGAAAGTTAGCCTTCCTGGACACAAAGCAAGGTAGTGAAGCCCTCAGTGAATCCAGAAGGGAAACAGGGAAAAGCCAACACCAGTATCTACCATTTGATAGGACCTATTATAAGAAGGTTATATATATATTAACTTATTTAATCCTTATAAAATTTTATATAAGATGTACTAATTACATTGTAATGATGAAAATAGTAAGAGTTAACTAAATAAGCATTAACTAAATTTCTGACTCCATATAGCTAGCAGGAGCCAGAGATAAAATTTCAAGTTCAGAGATCCTGTTCCCACAGGCCATGTCCTTAACCATTCTGATATTCTGCGTTCAGAATCAGAATGAACTCATATTAGGTATAAATGAAATTTGGTATAATTATTGAGATGTGAGTATTGCATATGTCATTGGATTAATAACTGAGGAAAATTTTCCTAAATTGCTTCTTATATAGACTGCTTTTTATTTAACCATCACCAAAGCCACAGATATATGTCTTAGAAATGGAGGAAAAGAAAGAATGAGAATAAAAGCAGGCCCTACTGCTTGGTGTCTCTTCTAATCTCTTTGTTTTCATATGTTGCCCACAGATATTTAGTTCTTACCAAGTGGAACAAGTATATTACTAGAAAACAATTATGAAGGTTTTCCCCTTTTTAACTTCCTGAGTTATACAATGTAGATAGTGATAAATGAAAAATTAAGTCATTCCATTGTTTTCATGGTTCACAGAAACACCACTGGAAAATCACTGAGTTATAAATATACAGTAATCATAATATTGATGATAATGAAATGGAAAGTAATTGGTGACAAATGAAA